GGAATCATCTTAAGTAAACCATGTTTTCAAACTGGCTAATTTTATATGACTTTGTCTCCGGGAAATAGAAAATAAATCGGTGGGTAAAGTAATTAAATACTATGTTCATCTCTTAAGTCCATGTGGGTAAATCTAGCTTTCGCCTTTATTAGCTGTTCTTTGCTAGTTTATTAATAGAATTTCTGACTGGATTTCTGTCTTCTTTTATTTTATCCATTATTCTTTTAAAATTTTTGTTCATGAAATCTTGTCAGTTCTAATTATTATTTGGTTCTTCTGAGCCAAATAATGTTTGTACCTTGTTTATCCTGTAGTTCTTATCATCTTAACATAATCAAGATGTTCTTTTCTGTTAATAATTAATATTCTGGCTTTATTTGTTTACCCAAAATAATATCTCATCCTCCTACAATTTTTTTAAATTTCTAATTATTATTTGTAATTATTCATTGCCTTTCTCATTTCTAATTACCCTTTACTGTCCCTTCTTGGAGAACAAACGTCTAAAGAAAAAGGTGAGGCTTTAAGGGTAGTGAAATCTTGGGATGTTAAAGATATGTTTTGAGATCACTATTTAGAGTACAAAATTTTATTTGGAGAGTTTCTTTTTTTTTTTTTTTTTAAATTTTATTTATTTATCTTTAGAGGGGAAGGGAAGGAGAGAGGGAGAGAAGTATCAATGTATGGTTGCCTTTCATGCATCCCCTGCTGGGAAGTGGCCTGCAGGGAACCGGTCTGCAACCTCTGTATGTGCCCTGACTGGGAATCGAACTGCGATTGTCTGGTTCGCAAGCCCGTGGAGAGTTTCTAAATAAAATATTGTGTTTGGTCTATCTTCAGAATGAGCAACTTCGTCAAGATGTTACTGACTATCAAAAACAAATAGATTCACAAAAAGAAACTCTTTTATCAAGAAGAGGAGAAGACAGTGACTATCGATCACAGTTGTCTAAAAAAAACTATGAACTTGTTCAGTATCTGGATGAAATTCAGGTAAAATGGATGGAAGTCACTTCAAAACAATGATTCTTAAAAAACTTTAATTTCATTATAATTTGGCCTACTATTCAGCCCTACATTAAATTCTTTTTTTATTATTTTATTTTAATTGTCGTTCAAGTGCAGTTTTCTGCCTTTTTACATTAAATTCTTTAGTATAAATCTTTACTTGTAAAATATGAAATAAATTGCATCTTTGAAGTTGCAAATCTTGCAAATTTATTCTTTTTATATGCTTCTTGGGCATTGTTTAAGAAGAAGTAAGATCCTTAGGTAAAGCTTTCTTGATATTTACTTTAAATTTTTTAATTTATTGATGGGGGGCATTGGTTTGTTGTTCCACCTATTTATGCATTCATTGATTTACTCTTGTATATGCCCTGACCAGGAATCAAACCCATAGCTTTGGTGTATCAGGACATCAACAGCAGTTCATGCTAAAGATCTGTAAAGAATTCCCTTTTCTCCAACAGATACTTAGGATCCATTTAATTTTAATTTAGTTTATATTCAGTTTCTTAATTTTTTTTAACCATAGTCTCTTTAACTTTCTTAGACTTTAACAGAAGCTAATGAGAAAATTGAAGTTCAGAACCAAGAAATGAGGAAAAACCTAGAAGAGTCTGTACAGGAAATGGAGAAGATGACTGATGAATATAATAGAATGAAAGCTATTGTGCATCAGACAGATACTGTAATGGACCAATTAAAGAAAGAAAATGATCATTATCGGCTTCAAGTAAGAATTTCTGTTATACTAACTTATTTTTACAGACCTCATATTGCCTCATTACTAATTATTTGAAAGTAGATCGTATTTTATCTTTCTACGATATGAATTTTTGTCATATGCTGTAGTATGTCATTATATAGTGTAACATGTTTCCTTGCTGATATATTTCTTCATATGTGTTTTCTCTAATCCCATTAAATATACCTCATGTAGAGTATATAGGTGATACCTGAATGAAAGTGTAGATAGTCCTGCAAAGCTACTAATTATGGGAATTTTCTACCAAAGACTCTTGGGAGTCCTATGAAGCATAAAGTTTAATTTTACACCATATATACTATAAATATTGAAGAAATCAATATATTGTTCACACTTACATGGGGTTAAACTTATTTAAGAAAACATAACAATGCTTAAAAATACAATTCTTTAATAATGAAAAATAATTATAAAACTGTAAAGATACAGAAACCATTAAATTTCACCTCTAACTATAGAACTGCTTTAATAATGTGTATACATTTGTAATGTATGTGTATATATGTATATGCTTATTATGTATATAATGTATTTATAAATTTTCATATATAACAAATATGTATATATTGCACTAATTTGCAACGAGTTTTGAAATAATTGTTGCCTTTTAGGTGAAGGAGCTTACAGATCTTCTAAGAGCAAAAAATGAAGAAGATGATCCCATCATGGTAGCTGTCAATGCAAAAGTAGAAGAATGGAAGGTGACTTATTCATTTGATATAATGGCTTTTTCACTTGCTGTTTAGATTTTAATTTTTTAGTGTTAGTTTTCTTTAAAGGCCTTTCAGTAGTTAATGACATTTTTATTAGGCATTTAGAAAAGTGTACCGAATATCTTAGCTAGGAAAACTCTAAAGAACTGCCCTGCTTAGTCCTCTAGCTTATGTGTTATTGAATGAGCTCTTTCATGTCAATGAGTTAACCTGAAACTAAACTTTTTATAGGAATCTGAGTCCAAAATATAATGTTTTTGTCATTTAAAAATAGATAATTCTAAATAAGTTTGAATATTTTTACATAAATCATAGTTACTTTTTATATATTAATTATGTAGTTCCAGGTTAAATTTTAGTTTAGAGTTAGTTTTTCTCATTCTCCTTAAATGTCAGATGAATTAAGCTTTTGACATTCTCTGGCAATGGGAGTAAAGAAAGGGATCTTTCAGAATCATTTGAGATGTCTTTTCAAAAGTCTCTTCCTCCTCGCCATTCTCCAACTACAGCCATATCTTCCGCCTCACCATATCAGAAGCTTTGATTGTAATGATTGCATATTTTGAAAAAAGTCGGAAATTAATTTTCATAAATAATTTTAGTTATAAAAACTATCACCTCTCTAGGCAGTGTTTCTAACAAGGTTTACATAAATTTTATTGGTTATTTGGGATTTGTTATCATCTGGCAACAAAGCTCAGATAATGTATATTTTAAACAAAGGCAGAAGCACTGGAAATGAGACCCACAGAATCAATTAGAGGTCAGGAAACTTTCTGTAAAAGGCAGGTAGTAAATATTTTGAAACATTTTGCATCTGGTATAATTCCTCAACTCTGATATTGTAGCATGAAAGCAATCAAAGACAATGCATAAATGAGTGAGCAAGGTTGTTTTCCTGCAAATCTTTACAAAAACGGGTATCTCCCAAATCTGACCAGTAAGCCATACCTTACTAACCCCTAGGAAAAAGGTTGCTCTAACTGTATTTAATTTTGGGAGATAAGATGGTAGCACATATATTTGTTTTGTACTTTGTTTTTGCTAAGTATCTTTTGAAGAGCACTACAGTATGTTACTTATTTAATTGATTCCTTATTGTGTGATGTTTAAGAAGTTTTATTATGTAATGTTTAAGAGGTTTCCATTTTTTGCTGCTAGAAACAATGTTTTAAAGAATATCTTTGTAGATTTATTATTTTGAAATGTTTAACTGTACAATAAATTGCTACACATATAATTGTGATATAGATTGCAAATATATTCTTTTAGTTTGTCACTTGTGTTTTGGCTTTATGTATTTTTTGCTATGAAGTATTTTTATGTATTATTTAGTTAATTTATTGTATTTTTAAATTACCTTTGGTCTATATATCATAATTAGAAAGGATTCTGAGTATAAAATTATTTTTTTATACTTTCTAGTATCTTCTGGTTTCATTTTCTACATTCAGATTTTGAAGCATATATAACTCATTTTGGTATGAGATATGGATGCACGCACTAGAGCTAGTCTGTTGTTTAAACATAATTTATTGAATATTTTATCATTTTTCTACTTAAATTCAGTTCCATTTTTATTATATACAAAATCCCTATTGAATTTATTTTAGAGCTGTTCTTTTTGTATTGATTGATCTATTTTTTAACCGTGTATACTTTTTAAATTATTATTATTAAATATTTGAAAAAGTTCTCATTATTTTTCTATTCTTAGACTTTCCTTTATAGAAGCATGTTTTTAAAGATTTTATTTATTTTCTAGAGAGAAGGGAAGGGAGGGAGAAAGAGAGGGAGAGAAACATCACTGTATGAAAGAAATATTGATCGGTTGCCTCTCACACGCCCCCATCCAGGGATCTGGCCCGCAACCCAGGCATGTGCCCTGAACTGGTGATCTTTCAGCTTGCAGACCGATGCTCAGTCCACTGAGCCACAACAGCCAGGGCCCTTATAAATGCACTTTTAATGCGAATTTTAAATGAAGTTTTAAAAAAATATCTTAGTTATTTTATTGGGTATCTATTCAATTTATGAATTAATTTGTAGATTGATGATACGTAGTCTTAGCAAAGAACACATGATACCTTTTTTAAAACACTGAGGTGTAATTGATACATTAGTTTTAGGTGAACAGTGTAATGGTTTGATATTTGTATGTATAGCAAAATGATCATTACCACATTAAGTTCAGTTAATATTCATCACCATACATAGTTTCAATTTTTTGTGTGTGATGAGAACTTTCAAGATCCACTCCCGCCCTGGCTGGTGTAGCTCAGTGGATTGAGCTCGGGCCTGCGAACCAGACAGTCGCCGTTCAATTCCCAGTCAGGGCACATGCCTGGGCTGCAGGTCGGTTCCCTGCAGGCCAGTTCCCAGCAGGGGATGCACAAAAGGCAACCATACATTGATGTTTCTCTCCCTCTCTCCTTCCCTTCCCCTCTAAAGATAAAATAAATAAAACCTTTAAAAAAAAAAGATCCACTCCCGTAGCTATGTTCAAGTACAGTATTAAAATACGGTAGTTAGATCCCACGAAGTAAGTGGCAGTGCATTAACCCTATGCTGTTGTCAGGCCCAAGGGACACTTCCATCCTTGTCAATGGGACGGCTAACCTCTCCTGTTATATAATACTACAAGATACTGTTCATTCATTTAATATATTTTATGTTTCTCAGTGGCATTTTAATGTTTTCTTCATAAAGATTGGTTGTATAAAACTTGTTGGGATTACATGGAGCTATTAATAACTTCTTGTTTTAGGAATGGGTTTTGAAAGCTTGAGATTGTTTAGAGATTCAGTTCCTAGATTGCTGAAGTTACATTGTCAATTTTTGAATTATTTCTTATTTGAACTTCAGATTGTACACACAAAAGGAAAAACCGTTATTCAGTAGTTGCCAATACTTTCTCACTTCAAAGAATTTTATTTCCTGTACTTTTTTGAAATCCCTCGATAGTATTTATTTGAGTATTTATCATAAATAAAGAATGGTTTATTAATTTTTCTCATGTAACAGATTCTGTTTTGTTAATTTCTAGTTAATTTTGTCTTCTAAAGATGATGAAATTATTGAGTATCAGCAAATGTTACATAACCTGAGGGAGAAACTGAAAAATGCCCAGCTTGATGCTGATAAAAGTAATGTTATGGCTCTGCAACAGGTAAATCCTGAAAATTTGGTTTATCAGCCAGTTTTATTAATGTGGACAATGAACCTTACACTGTTTCTTACTTACCTTGTCACCTGTGCCTAATAGTGACTGTGCCATCTACTGACTTGTGCTACTGGGTGTATATAATAATGTCTCTTAAAGTTTCTTCTACTATCCAGTCTCACCAAAAAAAAAAAAAAAAGAATTAAATTTTGAGTTAGGAATAATATTAAACTATTAAAAACTTTTAGAAATTTAAAAGTATCTTAGTATTCTGTTATTAAAGTTTATTATATTGTACTTCAGTGCTAAAATACCCTAAACACTGTGTAGGTAACACTGAAGTAAGCTGAAAGTGTGGTTATAAAGTGTGGCTGAAATACCCTAAACACTGTGAAGTAAGCTGAAAGTGTAGTTATAATTTGTGGTTATAAGGATTTCATTTTTAGTACAAATATAGTTATATAGAAATAAGTTACACTTTCATTATCAGTGCTCTGTATTCATAGTTCAGAAGAAATAAGAAAATTTTAGAAGTATTTGGTGAATAAGAACAGTATCAAGGAACAATAATTTTGAATGAAGTATTATAGGGGGAAATCTAAGTTGAGTATAAGTAAGAATGCACAGGGCTAAACACAAACATATAAAATGGTGAATGGAATTGGATGGATGATGAGGAAAAGTAACATAAAAAGAGTGCTAAGAAGCCAAAAATGTTAGAGAGTTCTATAATTCCTATTTGGTGGAGTGTTAACCATTAAATTTGATTTAAGTATTAGAGTGACAGCAATGCACTCAGCATTGTACAGCACACTTGAAATATATAAAAGAGTAAAAGACATAGTTTTGACCACAAAAAGTATATTCTACAGTTCTGTTAAAAAAAATAAAACCTACATTTTTTCTTATTCTTAAAATGTATGTTAATATTCATGAAAAGATAATGTATAACATTCAAAAAATTTTTATAGGGGATACAAGAACGAGATAGTCATATTAAGATGCTCACTGAGCAAGTAGAACAATATACAAAAGAAATGGAAAAAAGTACTTTTATTATTGAAGATTTGAAAAATGAGCTCCAAAGAAACAAAGGTAATTTAATATTTTATAAGTATATAGTTAGTTTATATATTGTTACATTTTAAAATATTTTATTGACATAAAGTCATATCATGTCAAAGCTATATTGTGGGTTTTTCTCTCTTTGAGTTTTATTGTATTTTCAAAAATCATTTAGGATATTATTAACTACTTTACATATCTTACTAGTCTTTAATTTGTAAATGATGGAGATGTTTTCTATAACTTCACCCTGATGAAAATTACATTAACCTTTATTACTAGATTGACTGTATGAAAGAAATGAAAATGGAGATGTAACTGATTGTACTTATTTAACCCCTTTTTTATAATTAAGAAAGAATGTAAAATTTTGATCAGTGTTGCAGTGTTGCCCATAGTTTTCAGCAGTACTTGTGGCTTGTCACCATTTGAAATAACCTTACCCAATCCTATGTCCTATCATAGTCTTCCTACTCTGGGTCATACTACTTTGTCTAACACATCAAATACTCTGAATATAAGCCCTTAAAACACCAGTGGTCTTATACTTCCACACCATTACATACTATAGTTATATGAGAACATAGTAATGCAAACTATTCATAATAAGTTTATGACATTTATTATAATTGCTGAAGATAAAAAATAAGGCACAAAGGGGAAATAGCCGGTGATTCTATGTGTATGTATGTAACTGTCAGTGGTATTACAACGGTTGTGGTTGGTGGTGTGGCTGTAATTTAAATAGTGAAGCAAAAGCCTCCTTGAGGAGCTGTCTAAACAAAGACTTAAAGAAGGTGAGGGAGTGAGCCATGCGATGCCCCCAAGCACTGAGAGTAAGTGCAAAGGCACAAGCAGGAGTGTGCTACGCGTGTTTGAGCAAGTGGGGCAGTAGTTAGTGTTGAGATTGGAACGGTGACCAGGAGTCATGTCATATGGTGCCTTACAGCTAATTATAAGGACTTCGGCTTTTATTTTAAGAGAGAAGGGACACCAAAGAATGTTTCTTAAGACAAGAGTAATGTAGTTTGAGTTAAGTTGTGTCTGTTTTAAAGTATAGGAGCGGTAAGGACAGAAGAAGACTATTATCATAAGACTATTGCAATAATATTATTAATAGTAATAACCTTTGGAGAGGTGATAGTAGCTTAGAGCAGTGAGGTTATTAGATGAATTCAGTTATGTTGTGTTTTGAAGGTGATAGAAATAAAATTTGCCAACAGATCATATGTAGGATGTGAGAGAAATAGTTGTCAGGACATTTAGACTGAAGACCAGGGAAGGTTGTGGAAAGGGCAGGTTCAGAGATGACCAGGCACTTAGTTAAACAAGGCATGCCAAATTTAACATGCTTATTAGATATTTGAGTGAAAGTCTTAAGTAATCTCTTGTGTATAAAAGTCTGAGGTTCAAGAGAACAATCTAGGCTAAAGATGTAAATTTGGGAAGCAGGTGCATAAAAATGGTAGTTGAAATCATGTGGCTGGCTGGAATCAAGGGAGAAAATATTGGTTGAGAAGGCAAATCTAAAGACTGAGCCCTGGAGTACTTTTACTTTAGAGGCTGGGGAGGGTGAAAAGGAACCTGGGTAGATGGCTGGGTGGATGTCCTGACAATGAGAACCTGTAGAACTTCTTTACTGATTGCATCTGCTTTCTCAATGAACAGGAAACACGGTTCTCAGCTGAAAGTAAAGACAGGGGAATGTGCGTTAGAAGTGTAAGGAGAGAGTGTGGAAGTGACAGTATGAAATGATCATCTGGAAGAATGAACAGACTAAGGAAATGCGGTGTGATTGTTGAGCAGCACCAAGGCCCACTTGGTGTACATATTTCTATATGTGTGTATATATTATGTATATATCGGAATTGTACTTTTACAGAAGTTTAAACAGCTTTGAAAGGATGACTAATATTATGGGTGTTATGTATTCCATCCTCCAGGAGAAAAAGTGGTGGTTGGTCTCTGCTATGGAATAAGGGAAAGGTCTTACCTAATGACACTTCAGTCAGTTATAGCATCTGACCCCTAAAGCCCACATATATGTGGCCTGGAGTCTGCTTTATATCTTGAATTGAACTTGTAAATATGACAGCTGATGGTGTTACCCTCTTCATTGGTTAGGATTAGGTTTAGCTGTCAGAAACAAATGTGAAAAACGGTGGCACAGTCAAAATGGATATTTATTTCTCACCCGTGCAGTGGAATTAGGTCATTGCACAAGGGTGTTATCTTCATCTGCCTCATCCAAAATGGAGCTTTACATTCGCATCCACATTCCAAACAGCGAGATGGAGGAAGAAGGGGCAAGAGGCAAAGGGAAAATATTGTGGAGGGTCATGTGAAAGAAAGGGAAAATAGGTTTGGGGGACAATTCAGTCTGTCATTCTCAAGCTAGGCTGTTCACTCCAGAGAGCAGGGCTCATTTCTTGTGCAGATGTGATCTGCACTAGCCCAACGCCTATACGTAAGTATATGCCCAATAAATCAGTAGATGGTTATTATGGATGAGTATAAGAATGACTTGAGTCAATAAATTTTACAATGATAGGAATACTATATTTTGGTCTAGCAACAGTTTGGTAAGATAATAAAGGAGGGATTTTTGTAGCTGTTAGGTTTAAGTTTAGCTACAGGTACAGGTATCAGATTTAACAGTGGTTTAAACAGGATAAAATGTATCTTTCATTATATAAACAAAATTGAGGCAACTAGTTAAGGGTTAGTGTGGTAGTTGCACAAATATCAGATATTAGGCACCCTGTGTCTTGTTATTCTGCCTATTTCAACATGTGGTTTCCAAATCATCTTCTAAGAAGACTGTGGGGGCGGGGGAGGCTGGGATGGGAGAAATAGACAAAAAAAACTGTACTTGAAAAATAACTAAATAAAATTAATAAAAAAAATAAAGAAGTTCAGTTTTGAAAAAAAAAAGAAGACTGTGTATTCCAACCTCAATATGTATATTCTAGCTGCCAGGAGGGAGGGAAGAGGAAAAAAAGATACACTTCTTCCTTTAAAAACATTTCTTGAAATATACACATGGCTTTTCTGTCTATACCCCACTAGTCACATGACTGCATAGCTGCTGGAGTGTAAGTAGAAATTTAGTGTTGACTTCAAGTGGTCATGTGTCCAGGTAAACTCCCATTGTTCTCTTTCAGTGGACAAAAGAGAGGTTGCATATTAGGAACATATGCTTGCAGTGTTTTGTCATGTTTTATAATCCATACTCCTTCAGCTAAGAAGATTTTATTGAACTTTGCTTTTTTAGTTTTATTAATAAAACGCATAACTTCATTTTACAAATATAAAATTATAATATTAAAGTGGTATGTTTTTAGTCATATACCACTTTTCCTGCACTCCATATTGGAATCAGTGGTCTAAAGGCATAACTATTAAATTCT